AATTCAATGCCTTTTAAGACTTTTTAAGGACCCGTGGGAACCCTGCTTTCATCAAGGAATCCACTTGCATCCGATCCTTGTTCAAAAAATTGTCAAATGTTGTGATTGTGATCAGAGACGCTGATTTTTACCAAAATCTTCTCCTCTGTAAGGTTTGAAGTAGGTTTGAATGGGAAATTGTGAACCTATTGACACCTAATTTAAGTCTTTCCTCTGTATTTCTGAGGTTTATCCATTAGCTGGTCAAGAGAAAGTAAATAAAAGAAAAATTGAAGTAAAAAAATGTGAGAACCTCACTGGTGTTATTTCCAGAGCTTGGTTCAGAGTCATTACTGTAAACTCTTCTGTCTCTACGTATTGGTTCAATATATTCAATATAAATGGATATTTCTAACCACTTTTACACAGTTAACTCTCTTTAAGGAAGAATATATGCGTGTTGAAGTGAGATGCAGTGAGCAGGCATCTAGACTAAAACAGCAGATGAAGAGACTGAGCGGATTGCGTTTCCTACCTCTGTGCTTCTGGTCTGGCTGCGTGTACTCGCTGCTCGGCTGGTTGACCTTATTGTACAACTTGGTGCAGCTTCTCTTCCTGTATGGAACAAAGTCAGGTGATGTGTCGTCGTCGTCTAATCCATTTAACCAGCGGTGGCTCTTCTTTACACTCTTTGCCGCTCTTTGCCTCTCTGAAACTCCCCTTTCCTTTCTGCTATTCACATTCTCCCACTCTTCATCCAACCTGTCGGTCTCCACCTGGGATCCTCCATTTCCCTGCTTGCCCATCACTGGATTCACTTCTTTGAGGCTTTTTTCAGCAGAATTCTGTTCATTATCCCCATTAGTTTTGGAGCTGGAGGAAGTATCTCCGGGAGTGAACGATATTTTTTTAAGAGAGACCACCACGCTACATGCTTTAGTGATGTCTGAAATAGCAACTGCTGACTTGGAGGGGGAAAGAGCTTGGTTGGATTTCCCAAAAAGTTTCTTTTTCACCTTTGGCTTAGTGCAAGTTTTAACAAAGCCTGGGAAACAGAGAGAGATAAATCAAAAACTGATGACTTTTTCAACACCATGACGAAGAACAGGGATGAACAGATCCCAGGTTTGTAGCAACATTGCTTAAAATTAACGCTGTTCCTGAAATTTTGGACACAGGATACCTTTTTGTAGTTCTTTTTGTCTAATACAGTAGTTTATGCATTTTGACAACTGTCAAATGACTAAAAAACATAAAAGTATTTGGATTGCTTAAACAAATAAGGAGGTGCATGATTAATATTTTCAAGATTTTTAAGAAAGGAGAAATTTAATCGTTTTGGCTTTACTTGTCAACTAAAGCTAGACTGTTTTTATGTATGAAATGACCTAGTTGGGACAAAAACTAAAGACCATTTTTTTTCCAAATGACTAAAAATACAACGAAAACTTGAGATGCTGCTCCTCCTGCTGCTTCAGCCTGAGAATCCACAGATTTTGGTGAGAATATATCATAGAGATTAGGGCTAAAAAAAAGAAATGTACGGGATTAATCATGATTAATCTATCAATGAAATAATTTAGGTTTTGCTTAATGTTTGAGTATAGAGACTAAAACATGTCTTGAGCTGAAAGTGCAACCTACTCAAAGCAGTCATTACACCTAAATTGTAAAGAAAATACATAAACATTTTGCATTCAAGATATATTTTTTCTTCCATTAATATGCTACATCCAGAAATCGGCAAAGGGCACAAGCTTCACTTGGTTTAAATTCAGTGTGAAATCTTCTTTAAGGAACCTTTTGCCATCTCATTATCGATTAATCGGAAAAAGAACACACAGATCAATCAAATAGAAAAAGTGTGGTAAGTTGCAGCCCTACAACAGATTACCATTCAAAAGATTCCAACTGCAACTCCAAGGTGTTTGGAAATGCATTAAAAAGAGGGGGTTAAAACGAGCTGCACTAACCCTCTCAAAATAAAAAAGAAAGGAAAACTGGCTGGCAGAACTCCTAGAAGAATTTGAAGATAGCATATATAACCAGCAGAAAACTAGATGACAGAGCTAAGATGCCTTTGATAAGAAACATTTCCCAGCCTTCAACCACGAGGCTTTACTCCTGGGTCCATCAAGGGGTTCCAACTTTAAGCAGTGGTTTTTAGGGTTGTCTCTACACAAATTTATCTAAATTGGTTCTGATTTATGCAGTGGAAATGCACAAAGTGATGCAAGAAAGCCAAAACAATGGCTGCCTAAAGACAGCTCTTTTATTTCATGGATGTACTTTGTTCTTCATGCGTGGTTTTGCCATTTTGGAATCATGTTTATGAAAAAAAAAAAGAAAAAGAAGAAAAAAAACAGTGTGGACCATTTCTTTTTTTTTTTTTTTTTTTTTTTACACTTTGTTTAACATCTTTTAACAGCTGGAAAAGACTGGATCATTTTGTTTAAATAATTTTTATGAAGAGCCCTCAGCTCAAGAGGGTGTACTTTTGAACTAATTACTGTGAGCTTTGAAGGAGGAGGATGGAGTAAAGTTCTACTACTGAAACAAGATCTGCAAAGATTGTTTTCTTCAAGAAAGAAGACAGGATCACACCTATTCTGGGTTTGAGTCCAGCTGGACCAGATGGTTGGAAGCCACCGAATGCCCAGTCCAGCATCTGCTTCAGGAGCTCTTCGCTGTCGTCAAGCAAAGCAGAAAACCGCTTTCCACAGCGCTGTGCCGCCTCCTGAAGGACAGAGTGTGTTAATATTTCATGCAAACCTTAAACAACTCCTCTTTTCTACCCTGATGTTTGACCAGAGGTTTGGCCCTCAGTTGTCTTCTGGGACATCTAGAGCATTTATATGGAGCAAATCGGTCTCAATTTTCTTGAGACTCTCCTGACGTAGCTCAATACACAAATGCATTTTGTTATACAGGGGATGGTTTGCAACCAATCACAGAGCTCCCTTGTATAAACCAATCACAAGAAAGTAATCCACGTGGGAGGACTTTTTGCTCCGCCTCGGTCCGGTTTCGCGTCAGGCCAGCATATCCTTAGTAATACGAAATACATAGAGTTNTTTTTGGTGTGAGTTTTTTTTTTTTTTTTTTTTTTACACTTTGTTTAACATCTTTTAACAGCTGGAAAAGACTGGATCATTTTGTTTAAATAATTTTTATGAAGAGCCCTCAGCTCAAGAGGGTGTACTTTTGAACTAATTACTGTGAGCTTTGAAGGAGGAGGATGGAGTAAAGTTCTACTACTGAAACAAGATCTGCAAAGATTGTTTTCTTCAAGAAAGAAGACAGGATCACACCTATTCTGGGTTTGAGTCCAGCTGGACCAGATGGTTGGAAGCCACCGAATGCCCAGTCCAGCATCTGCTTCAGGAGCTCTTCGCTGTCGTCAAGCAAAGCAGAAAACCGCTTTCCACAGCGCTGTGCCGCCTCCTGAAGGACAGAGTGTGTTAATATTTCATGCAAACCTTAAACAACTCCTCTTTTCTACCCTGATGTTTGACCAGAGGTTTGGCCCTCAGTTGTCTTCTGGGACATCTAGAGCATTTATATGGAGCAAATCGGTCTCAATTTTCTTGAGACTCTCCTGACGTAGCTCAATACACAAATGCATTTTGTTATACAGGGGATGGTTTGCAACCAATCACAGAGCTCCCTTGTATAAACCAATCACAAGAAAGTAATCCACGTGGGAGGACTTTTTGCTCCGCCTCGGTCCGGTTTCGCGTCAGGCCAGCATATCCTTAGTAATACGAAATACATAGAGTTTCCTCCGTCTCCGTTCTCCTTACATCCAAGCATGTCATTTTATTTCCCGATTTAGTCAGGTTTTTTGTCGTAGTTTGTGCATAAAACAAAAAATACATCATTCTCTAGGTTAGTTTTAAAAACAAACATTCCCTGTCCGTTAGATGAGGATCTTATTAAAGAATGATCTGCATTTTTTCACAGAGAATTAAATATTTACAGAGAGAGGATTCTAAAACCCAGTTGACAGGATATGAGATTTATTTGTTTATAGTTTGTTTAATATGAGCAAGATGCAAATCATTTTATTTATATATTTTTACAGCACATGAAGAACTACTGAAATTATTTTCAGATTACACATAAATAGATTAATAAATTCCGGCGGGGGAAAGGAATGATTTAGGGTTAGGATTAACTCGGTGATAACAACCTACTGGTACAATCTGAAGCCATTCTATTTGTAATTGTTTATGGGCCAAAAATACTTTGGCGAATCATGAGCTGTGCATGTGTGGATCTTGTATGCTTGTGTGAATCGTGCTGTGTGTGAAGCTTATCCTGGTCATGCATAATGAGGCCAATTTGGCTCCATAATTTTAGGACAGGCTGACATACCAACCTGCAATGATGAGAGGATGGCCTCCCGATAAGTGACCAGAGTGGCAAAGGAGTGTGCACAGAAGTACTGGCTGAATCCTGCGAATGGCTTCAGAGACGCCACAGTAACCTGCAATCAGAGACAGAATTCACCTATAAGAGAAATGTCTTAAAGGAATAGTACACCCAAAACATGATTAGCCTTCATTTTCTACTCACCCCCATGCTGAACAACACTCTGGAGTACTTTTTTGATATC